AAACTAGTCCTGTGTATGTCTTCCGAATACTGCTGCCTCCACCGCCACCCTGCGCCATGTGCCACTTTCGGGTCTCCTCACACTGCTGCCAGGTCCATACTGATTCATGGCCCCCTGTACCGGCTCCTCATGAACGTGGTTCAGCGGGTTTGCATCACTTAACGGCAAATCGTTGACAAATGCTGGGACGTTCAGTGTTGTGCGCATTAAGCCAGACACCAAAGGGCAGCACAGACCTGTTATTACTCGCTCAAGCATGGCTGAACAAAACCAGTCTCTACCACAAATTGACCCAGACCTGCCCAGGGTCTCGTAACTAGATTGCACGGAGGAGTAGAGTCCGTTATCGGAATTAAATAGACAAAACGCCACACCAAAAAGAGTGGCCATTTCCAACACTTATTCCAGAAAGAGGAACAACCCGTTTCATATACGGCCCGTAGACGTTTCACGTCTGCCACATTCAGTCGATTTAAGACGCAAGCTCCACTTCCTGTGGTCTCTGACCGTCGATATACCTTTAAGTGTCAGCTTTGAAGCTATATTCCCTCCGGAGCACTGACACTGGTGCCCTTCCGTCAACATGCCTTTAAGTTTCAGTTTTCAACCATATTCCCCACAGAAGCCAAACTCTTGGGTATCCCAGAAGCTGCTCAGCGGGTCAGGGCAATAAAGCTCCCGGTTCGCAGGTTGTTCCGTCTTATGGATGGAAGTACGACGGTATATGATCTTCTTCGCACCCACGGCATCACCCCATAGAATCTCTGCATTGCATCTGCAATCACAACGCTGACTTCCCGGATCGCCACTCAGCCATTGGACTCTTGATAGTCGTCTCCCCACACTGCTGCTGGGGGGACTTTTTAACCTAGGCCTGTGTATGGCCTTCAATTGAAGCTGCTTCCGCTCCGCCACTCTGCCATTGGACTCTTGATAGTCGTCTCCCCACGCTGCTGCTGGGGGGACTTTTTAACCTAGGCCTGTGTATGGCCTTCAATTGAAGCTGCTTCTGCTCCGCCACTCTGCCATTGGACTCTTGATAGTCGTCTCCCCACACTGCTGCTGGGGGGACTTTTTAACATAGGCCTCTGTATGGCCTTCAATTTTAGCTGCTTACGCTCCGCCACTCTGCCATGGGCCCCTGTACCGCCTCCTCATGCTGCTGCCAGGCCCGTAATCTGCCATGGGCCCCCGTACCGACTCCTCATGCTGCTGCCAGGCCCGTAATCTGTCATGGGCCCCTGTACCGCCTCCTCATGCTGCTGCCAGGTCCAGAGTGTGTCATGGGTCCCTGTACGGCCTCCCATTGCTTCCCCTATGACAAAATGGAACTTTCCTACTGAGGAGAAGAGTGTTTATCACCTTCTCAGAACACCCCCTTCTTCTAAGGATCTCCCTTTCAAGAGCCAAGCCGTTAACCGAAAAAAACTCCGGATTGGGGTGCAGAGTTGGCCCCTGCAAGAGAAGATCCTTCCTGCCACAGGTCACCTCTTCAAAGTGGCAAACTAGGCTTTTCTCGGCCACTAAGGCACTATCAGGATCAGTCTGCAGTATGACAGGCTCAACTTCTGTACCACCCGTGGGATCAATGCCAGAGGGGGAATGCATATGCCAGCTCAAAGTCCCATTCCTGTGCTAACGCGTCCAGACCGTCGGACTCATGTTCCCAGGCCATGGTGAAAGAATGCCTCACTTTCCTGTTTTTCCTGCAGGCAAAAAGGTCTATTTCTGGGCTGCCAAAAGACCTCGAGATTAAGATCCCCCTCTCCCTGGTGGATTAACTGTTGGCTGAGAAAGTCTGCTTTCGTATTGGCTGAGCGCTTTGTGTGGGACTGTGGACACTGAAAGGACCCTGCTCTTCGCCCATCCTAGAACCTCCTGAGCTAGGTCCAGGAGCTTCCGGGATCTGGTGCCCCCCTGAAAATCCAGGTATGCCACTGTCAACACATTGTCTGACAGAATTTGGACTTCTTTTCACCCAATTCTGTCTTTGAAGGACTTCAAGGCCTGACCTACTGCCAGCAACTCCCTGTAAATTGGAGGAGGTCCCCCTTAGGTGTGGCTCGCATTGGCCCTGGGCTTGTCGGTCCACTAGATGAGCTCCCCAGCCCCACTCGTTTTTATCTGTGGTTACCCGCACAGAGTCCCACTGCACCTAGTCTTCATTCTCCCAGATTCTGGGGCCTGAGACACCATCTCAGTGAGTTTTTTACATTCTCCAAGAGAGAAATCGTCTCATCCAGTGATTCTGCTTTCCTGTCCCAAGAGGATAGAAGAAAGAACTGAAGCTCCCTGGAATGTAATTGTGCCCACTCCACGGCTGGAATGCAGGCTGTCATGAGTTCTAGGACTCTCATTATGTGCCTCTGGAAGCATCTGAAACCGTTAAAATTGCGGAGACCGGCCTCATTACCTTTTCGGTCTTCTCTTGGGGTAAAAAGTTTCTGGACTCTGGAGTCCACTACATACCCCAGGAACACACTTGGTTTGGGAGGCAGTCAATGAGGAGTTCCCCTGATTGACAATCCACTCCAAAGATTACAAGGTGAGGATCAACTTTTCTAGGTCTCTCAAGACTTGGTGCTGTGACACTCAGTAGATCATCAGATCATCTATGTAAGGGATGAGGGAAATTCCCTGAAGTTCTAAATAGGCTACTACCTTGGCCAAGACCTTGGTGAATATTCTCAGACTGGCCGCTAGCCCAAAAGGGAGGGCTTGGGAACTGCCAGTGACTGACCCCCTGTTCTGTGAAGATATCAAAACGTAGGAGGGCTTGGTATTCTGGGGCAATGGGAACGTGAAAGTAGGCGTCCCTGAGATCCAAAGTGGCCATAAAAGACTCCTTTGAGCAGATGTTTCCATGAATTGTAGATACTTTCTATATAGAACTTCTTGTACCGCAGGAAACTGTTCATGCTTCTTAGGTTTATGATTTCCCCAAAGGCTTCGGGACCACGAAGACATGGGAATAAAATCCCTGAAAAAGCTGGTCCATTGGCACGTGAACAATTACCTCCTAGTCCGCTAAATCCCTGATCCCTCCCAAGAGACCAAGAGTCTTTGCTGGTTCCGATTAAGGGGGATACGGAAAAAAACTTCCTCCCCTTATCCTTTTTGGCCTTGATGGGGAATTTTTTCCCTTTATTTGGTGGACCTTGATAGCACCTGGTCCAGTCCTGAGTCAAACAGCAAGGAATCCTCAAACGGCAGACCGCAGTCAGGCTCTTGACATCTGATCGCCCTCCCAGGTCTTAACCCACACTACCCTCTGCATGTGAAAATGTGAGGTCTGCCAACACGTGGGTGTGTCATTAAGAATTAATCTCTTATGAATTTTCTTGCATGTCTGGAAAACATGATGGTGTCTGGTGCGTATGTCTGGTGTGCACGTTTCCAAAATGCAATAATGTGAACCTATTCTTAAATCTGATATAAAATAAATTACAAGTTGGCATAACAATGCTTTTTACATACAGGCCAATCCTTAGCTGCCTCCAATAGTATCGTTCCGACACCACACATTGGATCAAGGACACATGATGCCATCTATGAGAGATTTCAAACAGTTTCATCATTAGTCATCATCACTAATAATTATGTAGAGACAATACCCACCTCCACCCCAGAAATATCTAATGGTAATCCTCTTAATCTCCGAAGAAAAGGCCCGCCCCCATTATATATGTATATTGTGTTAAAGTGGGCTCTTGTAAGTAAAGGAAGCAGAATAGGGAATAGTTGCACAGAAGGATATTTGGTATGTGTTGGGCCTAAAGTAATTCTAGTGCAACACTGAAGTGTTATCCATTACAAATGAAATTAGACAAATGTACTTTCCTTGAGGAATACATGGTTGCCATTCCAGGTGTGGAAAACGTCCAATAATCTCTTCTTTTCAGTAAATCATCTGAACACCACTAAATGCCTATGTGGAATACATTTTCAGCTTTTTTGTAACAGCATAACTATATTATTTCTTAATCATGCTGTGGAAGGGCGAGGCCATGCCACTGTGTGATAAGGCAATTTTGGTCAGATTTTACAGGAAACAAGCACACTCATGATGCAGGTGTGTGTCTCCTTCATATTGGAGCTGGGATCAGAGCCCCACCCTCATGAGGGGGGTCAGTGATTGCAAGGGAGCAGTGAGAGATTCTCGTTTGCACCATATTGTCCAGGACAGGACAGATTGAGGCACAAGCGTCAGAGCCTATAAGAGATGGAGCAGTTGGGAGGCTGCAGGAAACTAGGAGCCTGGAGGCTGAATTTTTGTTTTCATAAGGAAGGTGGAATTCCCTGAGTGGGAAGCCTTTTTTGTGAACTTTTACTTTGTTTTAAATAAAAGTGGGCAGGAAAAGCTCTAAAACCTACCCCAGGCTTGGAGTAAATTCATTGTTTGCCACTAGCAAAGAGCTACTGAACCCCCAAATCATCACAATGGATATAGCCACTTTTACAACCTGTTTACCAACACACAAATATACTGTACATCCTTGCTTCGGACTGAGACATAAAATTGTTTTCCTAACAAATCAGAAATTGGTAAATCACTTGAGAGACAAGGGTGCCTGGAAGTGAAATAGTTTAAATTGAACTACAAAACAGTTTTTTGATAGAATTGAAAAATGTTAAAAATCCTTTCAGGTTTTACTGATATGGTCTCATTCAGGATGAATCCCCCTTATATACGTTTTCCAATATCACAAAGGAAGGGAGGATAATCTCTCCAGTTAGAGACAGCAATACAATTCTGGCAGTGGGTCTTGCCCTTGCCAATTCTACTAAATATGCTATTGTGTTTGCCCTCAATAAACAAAATTCAGACCACCTCTTGGCCTGAAGAGTGAGGCAAAATCTCCACAACAAGGATAATGACAGCAATAAAGATCTCAGAGGTTTTAATTTTTTCCTTTGGATTTTCTCTATCCAAGAAACTATTAAAAATAAAAAAAAGCTTTTGGTTGGTGTTCAACATTAAAGCAAATTATTTTACTTACACCAATTTCAGCAAGTGATGCCATTGCCCAAGCAGTAGTGGACCGGAGCCCTGTATTCTGAATATAACTCCTATATGCCAAAGGCTGTCTGTAAGACAAATGTTAAAGTTATATCAGAAATAAGAGGCATATGAGTTGCACAGATTTAAAGAGATTCTAAAGGTTGAAGGTTTTTTTATCTACACGCATTCTAAGCATGAAGATAAAAAAAAACCTTCAGCGTGTAGCTTCCCCCTCAGCCCACCAATACTTAACTGAGTCGAATCTCGATCCGGCGATGTGCATGAGAGCTATGTATTTATAGCTATGGGCAATACCCATTCCAAAGTAACAATTTCACAGTACTGTACTGGTACCTGTTTTGTGTGTAAACTGGTGACACAATCTCTGAACCCATGTTAGAAACTCTGTTTTGGGAATAAAGAAAAAAAAAAAAAGAAGGGAGGTCTCACTCTCACTGCTGGATTCACCATCTAACATTTTAGTAGCACTGCAAAATTAAAAAATGCAGGAGAAAAAATTAGAAGAAAACCAGAATATGAAGTATAGGGGGGTGGCAAGTATTGTGCACAATGAGTACTAAAGCTTTAGCTGGGTTCTATTGCCTTTTTGCACCAAACCAATACGTAATATAAAATAAAGTTACATTTGTAATGTGACCTGCATAATCTGAATAGGTTTTTGAACAAGGTGGAGTTAAAACACAGGAGTTGAAAACAAATGGAGTCTACAGACTGTAATATGTTTAAATTCCAGTAATTTCCTATATTATACATATTGTACCTGTAATAAAGAATAATGGCAAGATTAAAGGTATTGCTTTATTTCAATGTGCCACACGTTTATTTTCAATGTGCCACACGTAACATAAAAACAGTAACAGCTCCAGGGTGAAAGTGTCTTCCTTAATCTCTGGTATTGCTACTGTGGATAGGGCATGCTTTGTATTATGTGCGGTAATGTGTACACCTTATGCTGTTACTTTTATATCCAATATCCATTTTAATCTACAGTATTTCTAAGCTTTGCAATCAATACAAACTTGTTTTGCATGTTATTTTCTGTGGGAGTGCTGACTTCATTCATACAACATACTATATTCACTGTATGTGATAGAGGGAGATGGGATAGTAGGGCTGCAACTAACAATTATTTGGCCGATTATTTTTTCGATTAATCAGATAAAAACCTCACAAAAAGTTTGATGTATAATTTAGTTAAAAGGATAAGTGTCAGGGAAGGCCTGCCCGTAGTACAGGTGAATCTCCACGGCGCACAAATATGCGCATGCACAGGATTCTGGCAAGCCGAGCAGATGTGCGGGCGCCTGGACAGAGGCGCGCACAGTTGCGCTCATGCATGCGCACTCGCGCGCCTGTCATTAATGCTGGCGCTAAGAGGGCTATTTAAACTGACTGCTGTGGTTGTCTCATTGTCGTATGGTCTTTTCCCCCTGCTCGTGTTTCCTGACTTCCGTGATTGATTCCTGTTGCCAAAACCAGCCTGTTCCTGACTTCTGCTTGATCGTCTCCTGCCTTGACTTCTGGCCTATCCTCGGATTATTCTTCTGCCTGCTCCTATCTGATTGACCTCCTGTTACTGAACCCAGCCTGTGACCTGACTATTCTCCTGCCTGCCATTTTAGCCTGATCTGTCTCGCCAATATAGAACCCGCTCGTCTGACTCTGCTTCTTCAGCACACGGTGCTCCAGCATCCATCCATCCTGCACGGATACATCTGCACCGTGCTCCGGCCTGCTACTCATCAGCCCAACAGCTGTTTCCGGACAGATCTCAGGCCCTCATACCCCGCCGAGCTCCTGCGACCTCTGTTCCACTCTCAGCAGTCCTTGAGCCGGAGTTGTACGAGAGGTCTGCCTCTTCACGTCAGGCTCACTACCCAGGTACACGACAATAAGTTCACCCTTCATAACAAGTTACATATATTCAGGGTGTAACATCTAACATGACTGGGACCCTGCTCCTCCCCCCTTCCCTGCTTTGACAGCTAGCGGGGAATCTTCACCTCCCCCTAGCTGTCAAAGTTAAAAACAAACGTGGTCGTGTGGGGCTCCAGCCAGCCGAGTCACTCACTCACAGAATTCCCTACTAAACCCAGAACTCCCGATTCTGGGTCACGTGATTGCTGTGATAGGCTCTGATTGGTTATCACACTGATCAGTCACTGTGAACCCCATTCCTGTGTTTTCTCTCTCTCTGAATGCAGGAGAGAGATACATTGTTGTTTTTTTTTCCCTCTGCAAGGGGAGAGAGAGAGACAGAGAGAGAGAGAGCGGTTTTACTTACACATGTCAAAGATGCAAAATTTTACTTAGGCATTAAGATTTGTTTTACCCTTAGGCGTGAAGGGGCTACCCTGACACTGACTGGTTTAATGGCACCGCTAAACCAGTAAAAGGATACAAATCTAAAAACATATTACCAGACAATTTATGAGCGTGTTTTCTAGTAGCCTCAACTCGAAATGCATCGTTAGATCTATTAATCTAAAACAATTCAGAGTACAATTATTCATATAAAGGAAAATATGGGTAGGAGTGGCTATAACATGGATAAATTGATAAAAATGCACCAACTGAGAAGATAAAAACACCTACCGTATATACTCGAGTATAAGCCGAGTTTTTCAGCACATTTTTTGTGCTGAAAAACGGCCCCCTCGGCTTATACTCGAGTCAACGTCTGCAGATGGCTCCCCCCCCTTCCAACAGAAGGGAAACTACGGTAAGTACAGGGGTGGGCAGGGGGCTGCTGTCTCTTACCTGGCTCCGGTCCCACGACGATCCGGTCCAGGAAGCGCGCTGCTCCTTCATTCGGTTCGTCCACTGGATGTTTGCGCGGCTGCTCGGCTCCGCCTTCTCACGGTGATTGGCCGCCAGAACTGTAGCTCAGGAAAGGCACACAGGCAGCCAATCACCGGCGAGGAGGCGGAGCTGAGCGGCCCCACGAAAATCGAGTGAAGGAGATGCAGGTAAGTGTGCCGTGCTTAGGTGCTGCTGCAACCACATATGCTGGCTGCAGCAGCACCATACTGGAACAGGGGTCAGCAAGTGTCAGTGGGAGGAATAGTGCCCCATCATTGGTGTCACTGATACCAATGATGGGGCATTATTCCTCCCACTGACACCAACGATGGGGCACTTTTCCTCCCCCCCACTGACACCAACGATTGGGCACTATTCCTCCCCCCCCCCCCCTGACAACAATGATGGGGAACTATTCCACCCCCCACTGACACCAATCATGGAGCACTATTCCACCCCCCACTGACACCAATCATGGGATACTATTCCTCCCCCCCACTGACACCAACGATGGGGCACTTTTCCTCCCCCCCCACTGACACCAACGATGGGGCACTATTCCTCCACCCCCCCACTGACACCAATGATGGGATACTATTCCTCCCACTGACACCAATGTTGGGACACTATTCCTCCCACTGACACCAATGATGGGACACTATTCCTCCCACTGACACCAAAGATGGGGCACTATTCCACTGACACCAATAATGGGGTGCTATTACCCCACTGATACTAATGATGGGGCACTATTCCTGCCACTGATACCAATGATGGGGAACTATTCCTACCACTGACACCAATGATGGGGCGCTATTCCTCCCACTGACACCAATGATGGGGCACTATTCCTCCCAGTGACACCAATGATGGGGCACTATTCCTCCCACTGATACCAATGATGGGGCACTATTCCTCCCACTGATACCAATGATGGGGCACTATTCCTCCCACTGATACCAATGATGGGGCACTATTCCTCCCACTGACACCAATGATGGGACACTATTCCTCCCACTGACACCAATGATGAGGCACGATTCTTCCCACTGGTGTTCCCACCCTCGGCTTATACTCGAGTCAATAGTTTTTCCCAGTTTTTTGTGGTAAAATTAGGTACCTCGGCTTATATTCGGGTCGGCTTATACTCGAGTATATACGGTAATTTTAAAAGCATTTTCCAATGCAGAGGGCTGCTCTTTAAGACAGGAAATATTGTCATAAGAAGACTTAGAACAGGAACTGAGATGTTTCAAACTGACTGTATACTAACACAATGCATAATATGTTCCCATATGAAACAAAAGTTTAAAAGGCTAAAAAAAAAAGAAGAAAAAAAAACATCTGTATGTGGCTCACTTTCAGTGTTAAAAAAGCCATAAAGAATAAAGGGCATTTTAAAAATATTTAGATTGATCAAACATTTATCATTTGAAAGTTACAAAGAATACAACAACAGTTACAAAGAATACAACAAAAGAAATACAAAAAAACAAAATTGCAGACTGCAATACAGAGTAAGAAAATTAAATGATTTATACCGTGCATTAAAATAGTGAAGCGCTCCCAAATTATCTAAAAAATTATTCAATAAGTGAAGAATAACATAGACACTTCTCATAAATACCCATATACTATTAACTCTTAATAGATCTGTGATAAAAAATACCAAAATATACAATTCATAATATATGCCCAAATAACAGTGATAAAACCAATTGACAAAATACTACTAATTCATAATAATGTGACAAATCGTGATACTTGTGACACAACTGAATATTAAAAAAAGGTATATATAGTGATACTGCGATAAGTAAATACATATATCTGTGGTGAATCCTATAACAAATTAGAAAAAATTGCTTCTTAGATCAAAAAAAATATAAAAATAAATAAATAAACTCAGTGTTTCAAAAAAACTCAAATAATCCATGCAAAAAAAATGTGAAACACTCTGTGATCTTCACTTCTAGTGCTCAAGAAAGGAATCCTCCAATGGCAGAAATGCCTGCTCACCTCCCCTCCTCGACCCACACAGGGCCAAAAGGCAAAAAGGCTCTCCTTAAAGGCAATCCTTTCCTCCAGGCACCTCAGGCAGGAACCTCAGGACTTCCACTCCACCTCCTCTCACCACGTCATATAGGGCACAAACAGAAACTTCCCATAGTATAACACCGTTTATTGTGAATAATAAAGCATAACAAACTTTCCAACTCACATGGTAACTTTGGATACAGCGCTTTTTCACCTCACATCATGGGT